CAGCGGCGCTGGGATCGTTGTGTTCACTCCCAGGGGAACTACTTCGAGGGTGATGGATGAATTTAATACCTGAGATAAGTGTACGGGTTTTTATAGGCGCAGTCTTGAAACCTTTCGATCGCACCTCGTATAAACTGTGAGGATGAAGATTAAAGGTCCACGACAAATTTGATGGCCACCTGCATTAGTACATGACGCGAACACAAAGAATATCACAATCCAAGTGTCACCAAAACTCGACATTAAGAGTGTTACAATTAATATACGTACTATAAACTCATTTCTATTGAATTTGTCCTTTCAGTAAGTAGGCTACACGGTAAGTTCTGTTAGGGTTCATGATGGAAGTAACACGGCTTGTGTGTCAAGTTAGAAGATGAACGGACACAGGCCTCGTGCCTTTGAAACTGGGTCACGCCCGCGTCTCGAAGCGTCGTCAGATTTCGAGTTAAAATATCTGATAAAACAGCATCCATTTTCGGCTAGAGAGGAGACGTTTGCTAACTGTCAACGTGTATCCCAGCTACTCGCTTTCTCTCTATAAATTTCTCAAAAATTAATAATTTTGAATTTATAAAAATGTACGTATGGGAGATATTTTGTCTTAAAATGAGATATTTCAAAAGGGCCTAAATAAGTTTTAGAATTGTCTTTGTTGTGACGATAAGATAACAAATATGGCGACTAGTTTCTATTAGTAATTCCAGCATTCAATAACACTGCCTGTAGCTAATCATATGAGGTAACAGAGTGAATTGAGAACTTTCATTTCTTTTTAAAATAAAACTTGTGAACTTAGCGAATTCAAGTAACTCGGCTGGCACCATAACACATATTTTCGGACACTGAGTGATCCTCCACTAATTGAACACAATTATTTTGGATTAAAGTCTTATCTTCTAATACCGATATCTGTAATAGTCTGTACTATGTTCAAAACAAAAATTAGGAAGCCAATTATTGTAATCAATCTCTTACATTTGGCAATTATTAGAATTACCTTCAATCACGTAAACACAATATTTTCAGGGTGATTAAGTCAAAATGAATGAAATAGACGGGGAATGTAGCACGCATGGATGGGCCAAGGGGTGTGCATTGGGTATTGGTTGGAAAGCCTGAGGGGAAGAGACCGCTGGGGAGACCTAGACGTAGATGGGAGGATAATCTCAGGCGGGATCTATCGGAGTTAGGAGTTGAAGGAAACTGGATTTTGTTGGCCCAGGACAGGGTCCGGTGGAGGGCTTTGGTTAATTCGGTGATGAACCTTCGGGTTCGGTAAGCCATCTAGTTAGTTAGTTAGAAGCCTGTACAAATTTTTGAACTTAAAACAATTACAATGTAGTGTTTTAAGCCCTTTGTCTAACCACAAATTGGAGAATTATGCTTTTTCAGATGTGGCGACTGTTTATTGAATATATTCGCAGTTACTCTTTTTATCTGGAGGAATCAGCAATAACTGAACAATAATTAATTTAATTTATTTACATGTTTAATAACAGCCAGATAATGCCAATTACATCTAGCAGTAAACAACAGTAATGTAAAAAAATACTACAATTTAAAAATTACTTTAAAATCAAGAATTAACATTAAGTAACAAATAAAACATAATCAGGATGTACAATATGAGATTTCCATCATAAAATTCAATCCAATCCATTTACGTACTTGACAGAAGCTTAAAATAATAATAATAACAATAAGAAAGTGAAGCTGAAGCTAGTGCCAGAATTTCTTTAAAAAAAATTAAACAGTTCAGAGAGAAAAGTTGTACTGTTGGGTTAAGGTTAGAGACACAAGAGAGAAACAGAAATTACAATTTTGGCATCTCAGAATCAGGCAATCAGCACAAACTACTTCAAGAAAAAGAATGTCGAAAGATGAAATTGAAAGCAGATGTCGACTATGTAAAGATTACGAAGGAACTATTGACCGACTTACGTCAGGATATCCGATTATGGCGAAGACATGATAAAGACTGCACACATCTACATTACTTAATATGCAAAACATTAGGAAGTTAAACAACAGAAAACTCATACTCATGCACACCTGAGCCAGTATGAGAATATGAAGATACAACAGTATATGGACTCAATGAATACAAACAGATAAGAGAGGTTGGTTGTGGCAAGTAGGCCTGACATAGTAATTAAAAATATGGAAAATAAAATTTGTTTACTGATTGTAAAAAAGGATTATATTTGAAATAGGTCCTGCACCGTAGCCGCGCGGTCTGAGGCATCATGCTTCGGACCGGTGATACGGAATGAGTGCTGGTTCAAGTCTCGGGGAAAGAAATTTCCTCATGAGATTTCGGTGCCGGTGCCAAGCCAGCATCGTGAGGAAATTGGGGAGCTACAATGGGTAGCGTAATCCGATCATGAAAGCTAGCAATGGCTGGGGGTTCGTCGGGCTGACCACATGTCATCCTGTATCTGGTTGGATGATCGTTCATATCTGCTTAGGCATGTGAATGTGAATCCAGCAGCCAGCTAGTCGGCTTTGGCTCTCTGGAACCACAGATTTAATTTCTTAATTTAATAGGTCAGTAATTATTAATAGAGGCAGGATTACTTTTTCTAAAATAGGAAAAACTGCTGCCAGCTTCCATAGAGTAGGAAAATAAAACTGAGTTAGGTTTAGATTAAAGATACGTTTGATAGCAGAAACAAAGAACTCTTTATAAAAGAAGCTAAGAATGTAATCAAGTCTGACTGTTTCTGATGGTCTTAGACATCTAAGGGCCAAACTGGAATAGGGATTAATTATTAAAATTCAGCGGATTGCTCGAGGATGGGGAATATCCCTGACAAAGGTACTGTGGAGTAAAGCATTAGCACTTTACAAGGTTCTGCCAAATGAATACCATGACATTTTCTATAATATCCAGTGTATTTCAAAAATTTCTTGGGTTATGACTTTAAATTGTCATCAGTAGACTTCAACCATTAAAGTCTGACAGACTTAATAGTAGTTTTCACTGGGTTATAACAAAAGAAAAAATTACTATAAAAATAGTTTGAATACTTTTTAAAATGTCTGGAAGGGTAAATTTTTTTTTCGTATGTAATACTGTAAAGCACCCAAGAACCAATGAGGGAAATACTTTCTGAAATAATTATACTCTCCCTGTGAAAATCTGGTGGTAGAATGTCGTTAGGCAAGTAGCTAAATTAGTTAACGTAGATTGTCATTTGACAAAACAACGGTGACTTGGGTGCATCTTAGATTTAAAACTGAAGGAAAGGAGATCATTTTAACACTTTAAGAAATAATATAGAAAATATTGAATTAGAGTTGTGTATTTAAATTTTGTTCTAAAATTGTCAATAATTTTCAGTAATTTTTGTGGCACAATAAGGTGCAAAATAATACTTCCCTCTAAGTAAATTGTAATCTTTCCAACACGAACTTCAATTTACACAAACTTTCCAGCATTTCAAAATATCTCACTTACTCTTGTCAACAAGAGGACTGATTTGCATGAGGGTCACAGCAGCCCCTCCGGCACTTTGTCCGAAAACGGTGACCTGGCCGGGATCTCCTCCGAATTGTGTGATGTACTTCTGTATCCAGCGCAGAGCCAAGACCTGGTCCAGCAAACCCACATTGCCGGGCACATCCTCCGTCTGCAGTGACAGGAAACCTGTTCACAACGCCCGACTCACGAATTTGTTATATTCTGTTGGTCCGTGGACCAGATCCCAAAAGTTCTGGTACACGCTAATCCCTTATTCCTTGAAACTCATTAGATAAGCAAAAAATTCAGTCTCATCACATATTTGAATCTGGGTCCTTCATCCCTGTTTACACATTCTTTTCCAGGGATGTGGAAGGTTCTAGGAGTTCAGCAGTGTGAATTTTTGTAACAGTCGAGGATGTAAAATTTCAATCTGTGCTACTCGTAGTACTTTTGAAGGAATGTGTTAACAGAGATCATGGATAGGAAATTAGAGTTTAATTATTTTCATCGTGAGTGTTGGTTCAAATCGACGACTTTCAAGGTCAAATACCCAAATGCAGATAAAAGCACCAACTCACCCAAAGGTCCCAGTCGATACTGTGGAACGACCAGCACAACATCTCTCTCTAACAGGTAGTTAGGCCAAAACTCTTGAGCAGAACCCACTCTGAATGAACCTCCATGGATATATACCATGACCGGAAGTCCTAAACTTTCATTCTGAAGCTGCAGGATCAGACAGAAAGAACAAAGACAGTTACAGAACAGCATTAGATATGAAACATTTTAAAAGTGGTTATTTATTAACAAGTGACTGCCATGGATTATGTAGGAAGGAACATGAAAGAACAGATAACCTAACTTTTCCCACGATTTGATGACCTTGACGGAAGCTGACTAATTCAAAGGAAAAGAAGATTGTTTATTTTGGCATGGACAGAGGAAAGTAACTTACGTGCGGAGTGTACACATTCAGATTGAGACAGTCCTCTATGTTTTCAGTCTTTGCGTGTGAATCCCATTCTTTCATAAATTCATGCTGTGACCTGCGGATTACGGGACATTTCCTTCCAAATTTAGTGGCGTCCAGGGTTCCGTTCCAGGGTTCCGCTGGTTCTGGTGGCTGTAAAAATGAATCAAATAAGTTTTCTTCAACTCAAGTCAGAACGTCTCAGTTTAACGACGAAAGTGTGGGCTAAAAGACCGGAGTTTGTTCCTGACAGGTCTTCGCCTACTGTCCTGTGGACACCGGCTGGGGGATTTACGTCGGGTTAAAGCGACTGTGATGTGAAGATAAACACTCAACTCCGCCTAGTGCCGAGAATAAGAACAGGTCAACCACAAGGCCGCACATCTGTACTCAGATATGAAGGTGACGGTTTAGAGCAGTGGTAACCAACCTGGGGTACGCGTACCCCCGGGGGTACGCGAAGACATCTTAGGGGGTACGTGAAATTTAAAAATTATATATATATTATTTTATGATAAACACTGAATAATCAGTAATGTAATTTATTTAATTTATTCTGAATGTAGATTATATACTATGAATAACTTGAATTATATACCAACATATTTGGGGGTACAAAGTTGAAGAGAAATTATATCTGGGGGTACGCGAACAAAAAAGGTTGAATAACACTGCTCTAGACCAGTGGTATTCAACCTGGAGTACGCGAAGACATCTTAGGGGTACGTGAAATTTAAATTTTTTTTTATGATAAACACTGAATAATCAGTAATGTAATTTATTTAATTCATTTTAGATGTAGATTATATACTACGTATAACTTGAATTATACACCAATAACGTTTGGGGTACAAAGTAGAAGAGAAATTATATCTGGGGGTACGCGAAGACATCTTAGGGGTACGTGAAATTTAAACAAAAATTATTTTATGATAAACACTGAATAATCAGTAATGTAATTTATTTAATTCATTTTAGATGTAGATTATATACTACGTATAACTTGAATTATACACCAATAACGTTTGGGGTACAAAGTAGAAGAGAAATTATATCTGGGGGTACGCGAAGACATCTTAGGGGTACGTGAAATTTAAACAAAAATTATTTTATGATAAACACTGAATAATCAGTAATGTAATTTATTTAATTCATTTTAGATGTAGATTATATACTACGTATAACTTGAATTATACACCAATAACGTTTGGGGTACAAAGTAGAAGAGAAATTATATCTGGGGGTACGCGAAGACATCTTAGGGGTACGTGTTGCCTTGTCCAACCTGCTAGATCCAACTCAGAAAATAGTCCTGGATGCATCGCGTAGACCAGCACTCTGTAGCATCTAGGAATTTTTAACGTAACGAGATTTTAGATCTAAAATTTTGTGACGATGATGCCTTTTTAAAATAAAACGTTTTCTTGATGTTTTCTATCTTTAAATAAAATCAAAAAATTACACGACGTTTCGGAGTTAGTGATTAACTCTATCGATTGGGCCCAACTGAGTAGGTCAATCTGAAGACGTCTTGTAAATTTTATGATTTTATTAGACGATGAAAAACATCCAGAAAACGTTTTATTTTAATAAGGACGTTTCGGTTATAATAATTGACAGTAATATTTTATACTTTCTTAAAGGAACAAGAAATTATATGCAATTCCGTTTTTAACGCTTCTCTGGTAATCGCACAAATACAACTGCTCTGTGTTGTTAAGACTCATTGTGAGAAAGTTCTCATCTCTACCTTAAGAGATCGCAGTTAACTGAAGCTGGGGTACGAATCCATCTACAATACAGCAACAGTCGGGTTTGCAGAAAGCCGATGGCCTGTTCCGGCTTATATGAAATCCACCTTTGACCATATTCCATAAAATTAATAATAACATCGTGGCTACAACAGGTATTTCTTGGAACATGTCTTGAGGTTCTTTGTCGACTGAAAATTACTACTTACACTTTTTAGACTGGGAAGTAGATGGGAGAATATGCATTACGCATTTAATCATCAATTTAATTCCAGCTAGAATGTCAGTAGTACTAATTTATTTAGATATCATCGCTGTATTAGAAACACTACAAGGAAAGAATTGGTTATAATTAAATTATTCATTATTATTATTATGAGTGTTAGCCTTCGTACAAATTTTACCTCTGCTAGGAAGTTTGGTATCTGTAGTATTTGCTATATAGATAAGGAACAGTGAATCTTCATAACGAATACGTTTATGTACTTAAGTGACTGTTGTCAATGAGCTAGATTCCAGAGCAGGCTATTGAAAGAGCTGGCATGAGCCCAACTGTGGGCTCCTTGAAAGCCAAACGTGTCTCTGGCGTTTAAATCTTGATTCTGGCTTTTGTGTCCGTGTAGTCGTAAAATCAGCTGAACGATCTATTTTCTGTTCTGGATGTCGTGGGCAGGTACTCTATATTGGGTTCATTGTGATTTGCTCATCCCAGGTGGAGAAAATGCATACTTTGTTCGTAGCGAGTCAAACGATTTTCCTGAGGTTGTTGGTGCCTCTGGACTATTTGAATTTGCGCTTGTGTTCGTAATGCAGACTCAGGATGTCTGTGGCCAATGTTACTTTATCTGTTTAGACATTTGGTAGGACTCCTTGGACGAGTTATAAGCCCACTGCAAGGCCACTATCTTTACACAGGACAGCACAACACAGCACAACACAGCACAACGCGGACAAACAACCACGCCTTGAGTTGGATTCGAAACCATGGTCCCACTGTACAAGCGAACAAGGCCCACTCCTCAGACCGCGCGCAGCTGACAGGCAAATGAATTAAATAAACAACCGTACTTTTACAACAACCAACTTTACGGGATAAAATAGTCCTTCTTGAAAATGTAATAGTCCCTTTTATTGTTAAGAATATCTCCGCATAATTATAAGATATAAAAGTAGGAAATAAATTTGAATATAAAACTGTGTGGAATAGGGAAGGCTAATATTATGTAATTGAGTAAAATGTTGTACCTGTGCTATTAAAAAATATATTCCTGGGGTGATTTTAAATTTATATCCTTTAGATTGGTCATGTTGGTAATCAACTGCAGTGAAAGATGGCGTGTTGATAGAGCTTCTGGCTTCGTGTGCGTAATTAGGTTTTGCGGTGTTTCTCTTACGATTTTACAGTCACAGTGTATCAACATTGGTAGACGAAGACTTGTGATCAGTTTAGTCAAACAGATATCCAGTGAAGAAAATGTCGGTAAGTCATAATTGATACTAATTACTTCCATCAGTATTCCTTGTGTTTTTTAGATGACTGTTTGGAAAACAAGTGCAGCCAACATTGATCAAATTACAGGTTAGTGTGTGAACTTCGTACGCAGATTTTTGTAGCACAGGGTGCATTCCTTTGTCAGTCGAAGTGTTTAGTTCCTAATACTCCGTGTTGTTGCCTAGACCACGGCCTTGCCCAACACAAGTTATAAATTCGGGCACCGCCGGGAATCGAACCCGATGTGATCTCATTAGCTCAATAATATTTTATGTAAAGTACAAAGTGTATTCGGTTTCATCCCATGACGTTTGTAGTTCAAAAACCGGCCGTTAAATAACTTTAAGTTTTATTAAAATTTAAAGAGAATTTCATAACAATCTGAGCAACTATCAGCGGCCTGAGGAAGATGACTGGACCTTACCTTGAATCTGAGATTTCCGACCGGCGGTTTGGCGAATGGAATTCCTTGGAACTGATAAATGGTTCTGTTTGTCCAGGCTGAAATATTTAGGGTTCCGCGTATTTCCCCTAGGCCCGTCAGCTGCAACGTAACACCGTTCAGTTCGTCTCCATAAACTGTATGTGTTGAGAGAAAAACCAGCCATGATGTTAGCAGTCCCGACAGCGCGGGGCACAGTACGAAGCACCGCATCGAACACCGGGCAATCGCCGCCCTCTTGTCGACTTCGCTACTCGCTCACTTCTGCAGATCTAACTCACATCGCCGTGGAGGGGAAATAGAGCGGAGGGTAGGATGGTAGTGGTGGAGGGGAGATTTCGTATGTAACAGTTAAAACAGCCCCCTACCTTCGCTTGGTGTTATTTACTCAGTTTAAAAATAGACAAAATCCACACATGTTATCTTTTTTAAGTTGTTCCGTCTGAATTGTAATACCTACAAAGGTCACGCGAAGATGCATGAGAGAATTATAACAGAGTAACCCAAGGTTACTGTTGCAAAGTTTTAGTTTGACAAACTTACGAGTGAAAGTGGCAGACCCGGAACCGTTCCGACAGGAAGTACAAAAACATTATTTTCACCGCTGAAAATAAGGCACACAATTTTTTGTCTATGTTTATATTATTTTATTTATTTAGTGTTCTGTCTGACGACAGGTCCATATGAACAGGATCCTTCCATCCTTTTCTCGGACTGGGACCTGTTCATATACGTTCTTGGCAGATGATCCAGAAGTGGTTTGCCATTGCCTTCTTCTGTGTGTGTGAATGGAGTAATTGTTGGGATGCCACGGAGGAAAACTCCGTGTTGCCTAGACCACGGCCTTGCCCAACACAAGTTATAAATTCGGGCACCGCCGGGAATCGAACCCGAGACCCCAGTACAGTTTGCTATCTTTTGTTAAAAACAAAAATGTATTTGATAAGCAGTCATGGACTTATATTACTCCTACGTTTAATGCAATATTCGTGTGACAAAGTTTAGTACTTGGTAATAAATCAAAATTATAATAGGAAAGACGTTAGAAAAGGGTCACATTTATTTAATGTTTGTTACCATGTTCGATCCCTGACAGGGGCAGAGGTTTTTTCGTCTAGTCTCTGCGTCAAGACCGATTCTGGGGCCCACCCAGCCTCCTGTCCAATGGGTACCGGGGTCCTTTCCGGCCGGGGCGTGAAGCTGACCACTCACCCCATCTAGTGCCGAGGTCAAGAATGAGTAGGAGCTATGCCACCTCTCCCCCCAAGCGCCTAAATGGCGGATAACGGGAAAAACTTTACTTATTTACTTTTTGGGTTATAATACTTTATCTGTCGGTCTCCTATCTAAACAAGTAAAAATGTTTACATAATTTTCGCTTAATACCGGTTATCAACTTCGTATCTCATTCTGATATAAGAACATAGTCGTGGTTGTTTGAGAGCAAAGTGCTGAGTAGTGTGCCAGTCCAGGTCTGTGGTTCAATTCCCGAACTGACTGAGCCTTGAGATGAAAGGTAAACCAGGCTTCGGCATGTTGATCTGGCTTATAAGAAAAACGAAGAAGGTGTAATTACATGATTTCTGGAACGCCTTACTTCACCTAAATTAGACTGAATGCTTAATTTTGGCTTTGTGGAACACATTGAGTTGAAGGAATGTGGCCCAGATGGCCACTTGCGGGTCACCCTGCTCGGCCTTCCTTCTGTCCCAAGGGGAGCCTGAAGTAGAAACAAAAAAATGGGCAAACATAAACGAACAAAGGAAATACTTAAGCCACCCCACACATGGTGTGCATCCCTTCCAGATGCGGGGTGATGACTGCATTACGACCATCGCATCATTGCGATGGACCAATTGACTTTGAGCTCAGCTTAAGGCGCGTTCCCGCCGTTGTGGAGGAACGAATCAGGTCGCAGCT